AGATACCAGCTGGACTTTAATGTGGAGTCGTTTACGAAATCCCATGCAAACTCTGCAATAAAACATAGGAGAAACCGGACGCCAACTCAACACACGAACAATAGAACATAGAAAGGAGTGCGAGAAAGTCGAAAACACACAAGAGCAGCGACAGAAGAAGCAGAAAACACAATAAAGAAGTCAGCCGTAACAGATCACAAGAGATGCACAAGAGAAAACTATATAATGGACTGGGACAACACAAGGATCATAAACACCGAACAACAGAAATACAAAAGATGAATAAAAGAAGCTATAGTGATAAGGAGACGTAGATGTGGGACCATGAACAGGGACGATGGACTTTATTCGTTGGATCGCACATGGGACTGCATCATCGGAGAGGGGAGAGCGGGCAGCAGAGGGCAACAACGTCCTCTGCTGCCCGCGGATAAACAGAGTAGGAAGTGACGCCACCATCAGCGTCAGCCTGACGAAGTTTGCAGCCACAAACGAAACGTTGCAGGTAAATAAAACCTTTCTGTGTTTTAAAAAGAACTAAAAGATGGAATTAGAATTTCAACACAGCAAGAACACACCAAAGAGGTGTACCTTATACTGCCCACAATAAAAGGCCACCCTGGAATGTACAGTTTTGTTTCGCAGCAAAATGCCACAGATACCACAAGCATTGAGGGAGCATGCAATTGGCATGTTGACAGCAGTAATGTCAACCAGATCTGTTGCTCGTGCATTGAATGTTCATTTCTCACCATAAGCCACCTCCAAAGGCGTTTCAGAGAATATGGCAGTGCATCCAACCGGCCTCACAACTGCAGACGACGTGTAACCACACCAGCCCAGGACCTCCACATCCAGCAGGTTCACCTCCAAGATCGTCTGAGACCAGCCACTCAGACAGCTGCTGAAACAATTGGTTTGCATAACCAAACAATTTCTGCACAAACTGTCAGAAACCATCTCAGGGAAGCCAACTACATGCTCTTCGTCCTCATCGGGGTCGTGACCTGACTCCAGCTTGTTGCCTTAACAGACTTGAGTGGGCAAATGCTCACATCCGATGGCGTCTGGCACGTTGGAGAGGTGTTCTCTTCACGGATGAATCTCGGTTTACATTTTTCAGGGCAGAGGCAGACAGCGTGTGTGGCATCGTGTGGGTGAGCGTTTTGCTGATGTCAATGTTGTGGATCGAGTGGCCCATGGTGGTGGTGGGGTTATGGTATGGGCAGGCATCTGTTATGGACGAAGAACACAGTAGCATTTTATTGATGGCATTTTGAATGCAGTGAGATACCGTGATGATGGCCCATTGTTGTGCCGTACATCCATGAACATCACCTCATGTTTCAGCAAGATAATGCACGGCCCCATGTTGCAAGGATCTGTACACAATTCTTGGAAGCTGAAAATGTCCCAGTTCTTGCATGGCCAGCATACTCACTGGACATATCACCCGTTGAGCATGTTTGGGATGTGCTTGACCAGCATATACGACAGCGTGTACCAGTTCCCACTAATATCCAACAACTTCGCACAACCATTGAAGAGGAGTGGACCAACATTCCACAGGCCACAACTGACAATCTGATCAACTCTATGCGAAGAAGATGTGTTGTACTGCATGAGGCGAATGGTGGTCACACCAGATACTGACCGGTTCTGAGTCCCCAGACCCCCAATAAAGCAAAAAAAACCTGCACATTCCAGGGTGGCCTTTTATTGTGTGCAGTATAAGGTACACCTGTGCACTACTCATGATGTCAGATCAGCATCTTGATGTGGCACAACTGTGAGGTGGGATGGATTATCTCAGCAAAGCACAGGTGCTCACTATCACACATTTAGGCTGATTTGTGAACAATGTTTGAGAGAAATGGTAATATTGTGTATCTGGAATGAATTTTAGATCTTTAAGTCCATCTCAAGAAATATTGGAGCAGAAACAAAGGTGTTGCGTTTATATTTTTGTTGAGTGTAACTCAGTGTATGGAATTTAATGTTTAGATGTCTTTGCATGAAGTAAATACTTGGGATCATTTTGACATGTGGTGGAATTTTGTGCCAGTATTCCACTTAGAAAAAACCCTGATAAAGATGCTGATGTGTCAAATATTTTTTTCTCCTTGGTGTGTGTATGTGTAAATTCACATTTCAGCCTCCATTCTTACCATCACTTGGGATTGCCACATCAACCACAACGACTGTCCCCAGTTCATCCATCACCACAATGTCCGGTTGGTCCACCATCACCTGTTTGTTGGTCTGAATCCAGAAATCCCTCAAGAGCTTGGATCTCTTGTTGTGGACCACCTTAAAGGGTTTCCCACTTTGACCTTGGGGCTTCCAGTCCATACTCAGCACAGATGTTTCTGTACACGACTCCAGCCACTTGGTTGAGGCATTCCATGTATTCTTTCCCTGCCAGCATCTTACACCCTGTAGTTATGTGGTGGATTGTCTTAGGGGCCTCGTTGCATAGTCTACAACTTGTCTGGTGTGGTAAGCAGTGTGGTGTGTTCTGGTGTTCAGAGCCTGTTCCTGTGCAGCCACGATGAGTGCCTCTGTGCTGTCCTTTCAAACCAGCTCTTTCTAGCCATTGGTAGGATTTCTTGATATCAGCCATTTCAGTTATCTTTCTGCGGTACATCCCATGTAGGGGTTTGTCCACGATTGTTATGTTTATGTTTATTCATTTAGCAGACGCTTTTATCCGAAGCGACTTACAATTTATAACCTGTAGGCAGGGTTGGACTGGGACCAAAATTTGGCCCTGGCATTTTTATGAACCGTCGGCCCTCGGCAGAGAAGGTTGCTGCTCGCGACCCGTCTATCCAGCCAAATGGGGGCGGGGGGGAGGGGGGGGGGGGGGGGGTTGCTGCTCGCGGACTTGTCTCTATAACAAAATGTGAGACGGGGGGTTTGGTTTGGGACGGCCCAAGCAGGGCAACTGGCCCACTTGGCTAAGCAGCCCACCGGGACAGTGCCAGATAGGCCAGTCCACCCCTGCCTGTAGGGCATGTTGTGATCTGTGGGGGAAACCGGAGTACCCGCAGGAAACCCACGCGTGCATGGGGAGAACACGCAACTCCACGCAGAAAGGCCACAGCCGAGTTTCGTACCTGCAACCTTCGTGCTGCGAGGCAACAGTGCTAACAACTGCGCCACCATGCAGCCCACGATTGTATTTCCAGTGTCTCCTCCTCTGTTTGCCTCTGTGGCTCTCACACTCACTAGTCCTCTGCCCCCTTTCTTACGGAAAGTGTACAGTCTCAGGGTGCTGGACTTGGGATGGAACCTTCCATGCATAGTTAGGAGCTTCTGTGTCTTATTGTCTGTATTTCATCCTTTGACCAGCATTTTATTCCTGCAGGATTCCTGATTACTGACAGGGTGTAGCTTTTTATTGTCCAGCAGAAGCCTGTTAAATTACCTGCTGATTGAAATCAGGCGTGTTAAAACAAAAACATGCTGGATACCATCCCTCCAGACCCAGAATTGAGTACCACTGATCTAGTAGGTTTCTGCATATATGTGCTAAATGTCACCATAATTTTCTTTTTTCATGATGTCGGGCTCCCAGTGCCCGAGACTACAAAGCAGTTCCAAAGCATGGTGCGCCCACCAAGTTTAAGGAAACTGTATCCCTGGGGGTTGATGGCCTCTCCCTTTCTTCTCCAAAAATAAACAAAATCCATGTGCTCAAACAGTTTCAGCTTAGGCCCTGTCCACACATAGCCGGGGATCTGCCGAAACGTAGATATTTTTCTACGTTTTGGCCTGTCATCCACACGAAAACTGAGTTTTTTCACACGAAAACGGATCTTTTAAGAAACTCCGGCCAAAGTGAAGATCTGCGTTTTCTCTGTTTTGGGTGTCTGCGTGTGGACAGACAAAACCGGAGTTTTAAGGTCCGCAACGTCACTTTCCGCGACAAAAAAATGCTGACATCACGTGTGCGACCTGTGTTTACACTAGCCGTCAGCATGGATGCCCTCAGAGCTGCGCTCACTTTATCAATTGTCCAAGCGCTTTTTGCTTGTTTGTTTTTGCAAGCGGAATTACTGCTCCTTGCGGAAGACCACAGACGAAGGACGAGGTTAAGAACGGGGGAAGTACTGCCGCCTACAGGTCTGGCATGTCCTTAACAACGTATTTATCCGAGTACGTGTGGACAGAGTTTTCTTTTAAAACGAGGTGGTGTGGATGCAGGTTTTTGGAGGGACGGATATTCGTTTTAAAAAAAAAACGGCTACGTATGGACTAGGCCTTAGTCTAATCAGACCAAAGCACAGGCTTTTAAATCACATCTTTACCTTTTCAAATGCTCACAAGCAAACCTCAGTTGGTCACTTATGTGCCAACCCTTTGAGTAAAGGGGTTCTTCTGGGACAATTTGAAGACCACCACAATGATGAGCTCTCACAACTGTGTTCCTTGAATCATTGACTTCACAAGAGGCCAGGTCAGCAACAATCATCTCGGCAGATGTCCGAGCGCCTCGATGACATCTCTAATTTCTCTCTGGGGTTCTTGAAATCTGGTGCTTATGGCCAAGGCCAGATTTGTTTCTTACTGAATTTGTCACTTTGTACTTGGCAATGATGCAATGTACAGCAGTTCCAGACACTGAATAGCATGAAAATGGCAGAGTAGCCTTCCCCATTATCGTGAGCTATCTTCCTTCTGAGCTCCAGACTGATTTCCTTTGTCTTTTGCATGAGGAGTAAGAGTAGTCCCTCTCATGTGTTCAAGTTCCCAGTTCCTTAGAGTCTTTTTATGCTGACTGAACATTGATAGGAAGCCAGTGATGGGAATGATGGCATTTAATACAACGGTGTTTCTTATTCATTAACAAGTAATCTAGGTGGTTACTTTGTAACTGTAACAAATGACTTTTTTAAAAGTAACATTCCCAACACTGTAGGAAGTGAACTGACAGCACAGGTGTGGTTTCAAATCTTTCTGCACTTCAAAATAAAAGACAAGCAAGTATTAATTTTTTTTTTATTATTAAATGCTTGAAATTCACTTGTGATTTTAACATCCACATGATGAGCACATTTACAAAACAACCAAAGAAAGGCAAAGATTTATCAGATCAGTAATAAAAACGCGACCAAAATCAAAACAGACCACCTCAACCTTAATGTATAAATTGTCGGTAAAATAAACAAATCACAGATTAAATCTACAAAACTACATAAACAGCCTTAATTTAGAGTTCAGCATGTTTACTCATTTTATCTTTTCTTAGTAACGCTCCAAACTGGATTCTGCAAACTAATTGTTCCAGTTAATTTGGCCAGTCACATTGAATTTGATCCTCACAGCTTAGCCTGAGACTTTCTCAGCTGATCCTTCAGTTCTAGAGACGCTATGGAGGAAAGGTGCACCTCATCTGGTCCATCAGCGATGCGCAGAGTCCGTGCGTACGAGTACCTGGAAATAATTCATAATACAGGTCCTTCTCAAAAAACTTGTACATTGTGATGAAGTTCAATATTTTCTGTAATGTACTGATAAACATTAGACTTTCATATATATTGGATTTATTACACACAACTGAAGTAGTTCAAGCCTTTTACTGTTTCTAATACTGATGATTTTGGCATACAGCTCATGAAAACCCAAAATTCCTATCTCAAAAAATTTGCATATTTCATCCGTCCAATAAAAGAAAACTGTTTTTAATACAAAAAAAGTCAACCTTCAAATAAGTATTGGTCGGGGATCCTTTTGCAGAAATGACTGCTTCAATGCGGCGTGGCATGGAGGCAATCAGCCTGTGGCATTGCTGAGGTGTTATGGAAGCCCAGGATGCTTCGATAGCGGCCTTAAGCTCATCCAGAGTGTTGGGTCTTGCGTCTCTCAACTCTCTCTTCACAAAATCCCACAGATTCTCTCTGGGGTTCAGGTCAGGAGAGTTGGCAGGCCAATTGAACACAGTAATACCATGGTCAGTAAACCATTTACCAGTGGTTTTGGCACTGTGAGCAGGTGCCAGGTCGTGCTGAAAAATGAAATCTTCATCTCCATAAAGCTTTTCAGCAGATGGAAGCATGCAGTGCTCCAAAATCTCCTGATAGCTAGCTGCATTGACCCTGCCCTTGATAAAACACAGCGGACCAACACCATCAGCTGGCATGGCACCCCAGACCATCACTGACTGTGGGTACTTGACACTGGACTTCAGGCATTTTGGCATTTCCCTCTGCCCAGTCTTCCTCCAGACTCTGGCACCTTGAGTTCCAAATGAAATGCAAAATTTGCTGTCATCCGAAAAAAGTACTTTGGACCACTGACCAACAGTCCAGTGTTGCTTCTCTGTAGCCCAGGTCAGGCGCATCTGCCGCCGTTTCTGGTTCAAAAGTGGCTGGACCTGGGGAATGCGGCACCTGTAGCCCATTTCCTGCACACGCCTGTACACGGTGGCTTTGGATGTTTCTACTCCAGACTCAGTCCACTGCTTCTGCAGGTCCCCCAAGGTCTGGAATCGGTCCTTCTCCACAATCTTCCTCAGGGTCCGGTCACCTCTTCTCGTTGTGCAGCGTTTTCTGCCACACTTTTTCCTTCCCACAGACTTCCCACTGAGGTGCCTTGATACAGCACTCTGGGAACAGCCTATTCATTCAGAAATTTCTTTCTGTGTCTTACCCTCTTGCTTGAGGGTGTCAATGATGGCCTTCTAGACAGCAGTCAGGTCAGTAGTCTTACCTATGATTGCGGATTTGAGTAATGAACCAGGCTGGGAGTTTTTAAAAGCCTCAGGAATCTTTTGCAGGTGTTTAGAGTTAATTAGTTGATTCAGATGATTAGGTTAATAGCTCGTTTAGAGAACGTTTTCATGATATGCTAATTTTTTGAGATAGGAATTTTGGGATTTTCATCAATATTAGAAACAATAAAAGGCTTGAACTACTTCAGTTGTGTGTAATGAATCTAATATATATGAAAGTCTAATGTTTATCAGTACATTACAGACAATAATTAACTTTATCACAATATGCTAATTTTTTGAGAAGGACCTGTAGAAGGAGCTCTAATTCATATTAGTGTGTAGGGAAATGCAAACATACATCTGTGCTAGTGGGAAGTCTTGGGACACCCCTGCAGCTCCATGGAGCTGGATGGCGATGTCCACCACCTTACAGCTCATCCTGGCTGCTGCCACTTTGATCATAGCAACCTAGCAGAGAGAGAAAATGTCTTGGTGTTATAAAGTCAACAGCTGCTAGAAAATAATGGTTAACGATCTGGGTTAACTGTGTAATCTGTAATAACAGCGGGGCATATTGCTGAATAGAACAGTAACAGTTTAACCTGCTTGCGAGCTGCACGGCTGCCCAGTGTGTCCAGAGAATGAGCTGCATAAAGAGTCAGCAGGCGGGTCTGCTCTATCATCAGACGACTCTCTGCTATCCAGTGAGCAACGACCTCCTTTAGACCAGAGTTAACAGACGTGTAAACAGCTGAATGCTTTACCCACAGCCCTGAAGGAAGTCTAAAGATCAGACAAATCTGTGGTTCACTCACATGCTGGTGCAGCTTTTTCCCAAACGTCTGTCTAGAAGCAGCACGCTGGCACAGAAGCTCCAGCGCATGCTCAGCCAAACCAACAGCTCTCATACTGTGGTGCAACCTGCCCGGGCCCAGACGCCTCTGAGCTATCTCAAACCCTCTGCCTTCTCCTGGAAATTAAAGTGATGAGAAGAAAAATTCAAATTCTCATTGGTAAAACGTGTTGGCGAGTGTTAGCTTTTGCTTTCTAGGCTGTTGCAGGTTAATTTCAGTAAATAGAAACTGAATTTTTACCCAGAATGATGTTGGATGCGGGAACACGCACATTTTCAAAGTGCACCTCGAAATGGCCGCCATGGATGGCATCTGAACTCAGGGATGAGCACAAATTGAATACTTTTTTTTTTATACTTGTGTGTAAAAACTATCAAACAATGAAAATATCCAGCAGACATAACAGACTCCTACCGTCCTGTCCAAACACGGTGAGAGGTCGGATGAGCTTCACTCCTGGAGTTTCCATGGGTACCAGGATCATACTGTGCTGGCCATGCCTAAGAAATAAGTTCACTATTAACTTCCTGACGTCTCAATTTATTACAGAACTTGAAAGGTTTTATCCAGATGTGTAATTTTTGTAAACACTTAAATGTTTGTCACCACAGGATTGATGTTCTGACCTGCTGCTAACATCCCGAGAGCTCCTGCACATCACAACGGCCACTTTGCATTTAGGATTTCCTGCACCTGAGAGACAAGTCACAAATCCTCATGCTCCAAACAGCCACTAGAGGGCACCATTGCATGCATGAATTGAATTTAACACCAACTTTACAGAAGAAATTAAATTCTGGTGACTCATCAGCATCCTGGGCATCTCCACTGCCCTCCTGTCTTTGTGTAAACACACCAATCAGATGTGCACACTCTCGCATTTGCAGTTATTTGCATTTGTTAACTCAAACCATCTCCTATAATCCAAATCTGTGTGTGACGTGGACATTTTTACAGCAGGGAGAAAAACAAGAGTGTACCTTCTTTACAAAAAATATCCCAAACATTGACTAAACTGCAAATGTGAAAGAGAAACTCCTAATAATGAAAGAACAGACATGGAGACTGTTCTTATGCAGCAGTGTCGCTTGCTGAAGGTGGATGTTCACGTTTATGTTTTACCAAGAAATGTGTTACGCTGAGGCAGTCTGTGTACCCGTGAGAGTGAGGTAAAAAAGCTGTCATGACGTTTTCTGACAACCTCTCACCTGTGGGACGACTGAGATCCTTCCCCTAAGTAAAGGATTTATCTATTTCCGAGGCCATCCAGAATTTAATGCCAACTTTGTCAGGCTTGATGAACTTTTACTGGAAAAAGCTTTTTATCACTTGTAATGAGTTCTGGGCTGAAACTTGCTTCACAGTTTTTACTGAAGCGAGACCAGATGTTTGAGATTGCTGCAAATGTCAGTTTGTACACTTTCACCACGGGCGTCCTTGTCAAACCGAGGGTAACGAAGCGATCTCTTGACTGCTGGTAACACAACATTTCCTGACCGGCAATCCACCATGGCACCAAAAATTGACACTCAACTGCTTTGGTAAACAGAACAGATATAAAAGCCATCAGATCATAGAGAGACAGGTTTTAGTTGGGGTCTGCTCTTCAGGCTCGAGGGTTCTGCAAGTATCTCAGCTGTTCCTAGACTGAGATGTCTGATGTTTTACCTGGGGTCTGCTTTAGCCACTCCTCCAGTTTGAGTGTTACTGTCCTGAGTTCCCCCGATGACCAAGGGTACCACCAATACCTTCACTCTCAATATAAATATATACATTCAACATGTGTGTTTGTGTGTATCACTGCCCAAAGTCCAAGTGAGAGTCAATGACTGCTGCTACACATGTGACTACAAGCCATCTACCATCCACCGCTGCAGGAAGGACACCTTTTTTGAGTTTATGTTGCTCAAGCAAAGTCAAACCTCTGGTTAAAACAGCAGGGAACATCCACATCTCCACCTACCCTATCACAGTCACGCTTGCAATCAAATGTAAATTTGCCAGTGGGTCCAAATTGGTGTGTTTGCACAACGCTGGCAGGGTCAGCACCACCCCAGGGGGTCGTGGAGATTTTACGTAGAAATAAGTGGTGTGACAAACAAAAAAATCTCAGATATAGTCAAATGAACATTTGAAAATTTCCTTTAGCTTAAGTTTTAAACTCTCACCACTCCCAAAGGCATAAGAAGTAAGGGTCTGTTACTTAACCAGCAGTAATGATTCTTTATGTCTGGAATATCTCAGAACTACAGTTGTGGTCAGAAGTTTACATACACTTGTAAAAAATATAATATAATGGCTCTACTGAGTGTCCCGTTATTTCTAAAACTCTGATTTTTCTCTGATAGAGTGATTGGAACAGATACTTTAGTCACCAAAAACATTCATGAAGTTTGGTTCTGGGTCACAAATATACATACAGCAACATGAACTAGCAATTTTGGTGACTTAGAAACATGTCAGTGAACTGAGCTTCATAGCATGGCCTCTTAACTTCTTGTGAGTGATTATGAGTGACTACAGCGGGTGACTTCTCTTAGGCCAGGTAAATAGGGCTCATTGGATACAAACGCCCACAAACGCTACAATGGGAAAGTCAAAGGAGCTCAGTATGGATCTGAAAAAGCAAATTATTGACTTGAACAAGTCAGGAAAGTCACTTGGGGCCATTTCAAAGCAGCTGCAGGTCCCAAGAGCAACAGTGCAAACAATTGTAAGTATAAGGTGCATGGCACTGTTTCATCACTGCCAAGATCAGGAAGAAAACGCAAGCTATCACCTGCTGCTGAGAGAAAATTGGTCAGGAGGGTTAAGAGTGAACCAAGAATCACCAAAAAGCAGATCTGCCAAGAATTAGAAGCTGCTGGAACACAGGTGTCATTGTCCACAGTCAAACGTGTTTTGCATCTCCATGGACTGAGAGGCTGCCGTGCAAGAAGGAAGCCCTTGCTCCAAAAGCGGCACCTTAAGGCTCGACTGAAGTTTGCTGCTGATCACATGGACAAAGATAAGACCTTCTGGAGGAAAGTTCTGTGGTCAGATGAAACAAAAATCGAGCTTTTTGGCCACAATGCCCAGCAATATGTTTGGAGGAGAAAAGGTGAGGCCTTTAACCCCAAGAACACCATGCCTACAGTCAAGCATGGTGGTGGGAATATTATGCTGTGGGGCTGTTTTGCTGCCAATGGAACTGGTGCTTTACAGAGAGTAAATGGGATAATGAAGAAGGAGGATTACCTTCACATTCTTCAACATAACCTAAAATCATCAGCACGAAGGTTGGGTCTTGGGCGCAGTTGGGTGTTCCAACAGGACAATGACCCCAAATACACATCAAAAGTGGTAAAGGAATGGCTAAATCAGGCTGGAATAAGGGTTTTAGAATGGCCTTCCCAAAGTCCTGACTTAAACCCCATTGAAAACATGTGGACAGTGCTGAAGAAACAAGTCCATGTCAGAAAACCATCAAATTTAACTTAACTTCACCAATTCTGTCAAGAGGAGTGGTCAAAGATTCAACCAAAAGCTTGTGGATGGCTACCAAAAGCGCCTAATTGAAGTGAAAATGGCTAAGGGACATGTAACCAAATATTAGCACTGCTGTATGTATATTTGTGACCCAGCAAATGTGATCACTTTTCTCTGTTAACCCATAATAAAGACATTAAAGAACCAAACTTCATCAATGTTTTTCGTGACAAAGAAGTATCTGTTCCAATCACTCTATCAGAGAAAAATCAGAGTTTTAGAAATAACGGGACACTCAGTAGAGCCATTATATTATATTTTTTACAAGTGTATGTAAACTTCTGACCACAACTGTACATTTATAGTCTTTGAGGACATTTTAGACCAGAAATGTCTTCATTTAATGAACTCACCACTGCACCACCACTTTGTGCTATTTATGACGTAGTCTTCTTCATCCCTGTGAAGAATGCACTCCATGTTGGCTTCATCACTGGAGGGAACGCCGGGCTCTGAGGAGAAATTAACCATCACCATCAGAAAAGCCAATATTCAGAAAAAAGCTTTCACTTTACAGCCCAGAGCTGGTCAGGTGTTCAGCATAGGTCGCCATCATGACCAGTAGGTTAAAATAGAGCAAGAAACCCACACGTCTGTGTATGAAGCTCAGTTTGGTTCTAACTGGTTACAAGCTGGCTCCAGTAACAGACGTTCACCAGGAGTTTCTGACAGCAGAGATGTTTTTTTTTACAGATGTGTCTTTTTGTTCCAGAGTGATGAAACTTCCTAACTGAAACCCTGCTGCCTGTGTGGGGTCATGTCAACTCAGTAGGTGGCTCAGAACCTGTTTGTTTTTAGATTTTTGCGTAAAGGAGGCCTGGAGTTGTTTCTTTTGTTTCCTCTGATGACGTGGGCATAAATCTACCTGTCATGCAGAAGCAGGAGCGGATTTCTCCTCTCAGAAGAGGCTCCAGCCACTTCTTCTTCTGCTCCTCGCTGCCAAACATGTGCAGCACCTCCATGTTTGCTGTGTCTGCCAAATACGTTCATATAGATTAGGGCAGAATATAAAAAAAACTAGCTTATTTTGTTAAGCTACACAGTTTATAAAACAAAACAAAAATAAATGATTGTTGTGCAGCTACAAAAATAACAAACATCATTTTTGGATGTTTCACCTGGAGCCTGACAGTTAAAGACTTCAGGGGCAAAGAAGCAGCGTCCAGTCTCCTCTGCGATGTAGGCATAATCCACCTGAGTGAGTCCGTTGACAGCAGGCAGGAACAGGTTCCACAACCCCACCTCTTTGGCTTTCTCCTGGATTCTCAGATCAAAGAAAACACAAATCGTTTCAGATTGATGGATCGGCGATGCAAATCTGAGCTCAACATTCAAAAACGGACAGTAATGTTGTAACTGTAAAACAATAACTTGTTATTTAATGTGCTAGTGATGGCTCAACTATAGGAACATCCTTTCTGACTTCTAGAAAGATCTCTTACCTTTTCATGACAGTGGCATAGATTTTGCAAAACGGAAACCACATTTTAGAAGAACAAGAAACTATTTTTATATAGAGCCTCTCAAGTTAAGTCATGAGGCGCTTCACAAGAAAATAACACATATATGGAAAATGATTTTAAAATATCGTAATAAGAAATGGGGAGAATGGAAATGCTTTAAAAAAACAAGAAGTAGTAAAGAAATTCAATAAATAAAGGTAATATCCTGGGAAGATCATCAGTAGAAACAGCAGCATGAAGAGAAGGTAATCAAGAGGAGTCAACATAATCAACAGGTCACACAAAGCCAGCCTGAACAGGTGTTTTCAGCTGCTTTTTAAAGGAGACCACTGAGTCCTTTGAACATCTTAGGTGTGTGAACGAAAGCATGGAACCACTGAGTCCATTGACCTCAGGCTCAGGGGGAGAGTTCCAGAGTCTGGGGCCACAGCAGCAAATCACACTCAATCACTGTTGAGCTGTTGAGACAAGACAAGATGGCGCCAGCATGGCAGGCACGCCGTCCGTCTCCTCTTGCAAGAATGTTTTTGTTAATGATTCTGCTCTGTGTGTGTGTTAACATAAACTCACTCTTGATATATGATACATACTCTTCTACAAATCCAATCAACTATGAGCATATCTCTGTTTGCTCAGGAACTAAGTGATTCAACCCGCTCATTTCTGGCTGAAATACCAGCCTGTCTGTGTCGCTTACCTCGCCCTCCACGGATAAGAAAGCGGCATCGCCGGCGTGGAAAACGTGGAGGTCACCTGGTCACATCCAAATTCTGCATGTGGGGCATTGAGTGGCGCTTTCTGAGTTCAACGGAGGCTATAAGAATGTGCTTGGTTCCTGTTGTTCCTGCAAACTTCTCCAGATCGCTTTCCCGTTCCTCGTTTTACCATCGGTCTCAGCAAGGAGTAAACCCCGACAACCTATGGCACGTAACGAGATTAGCCGGGACAGGCGCTTCTCCACCACCGGCTCTGCCACCGACTCGCTTTGAGCTGATCAACGCCAGATCAGATCGGTTGGGAATAAAACTTTTATCTTGAAAGATTCCTTCCATAACAACAGCTTGGACGTTTTATGCGCCACTGAATCATGGAGTCCTCCACACTCACTGAAGTTCTAGCACCTGGCTGCTCCTACATTAACACTCCAAGAGCGCGGCGCCGTGTCAGTGGCCTGCTGATTTTATTTAAATCTGATTTTATCTGCAACCACACTGTCCCTTCATTAACTCCATTAACTTTTGAGCTAAGTGCATTTGAACTGGGTCGTTCCCCTCCCTTGTGTGCACTTATTTAACGTCCTCCAAAATATAACAAGAACTTTTTAGATTAATTTGTGGCGTTTCTGGCTGAAGTCTCCTGGGGTTGTTTCTGCTAATTCTAACAATCAAGGTGTTTTGTATAAAACCATGAATGCCATGCTTTCTCTTGCTAGAACGCTATTTTCCTCTGCGTCTACTTGCCTCTGTAACCAAATCCTTCAGTTTTTCTTAAATAAGGTTGGTAAAATCAGAGCTCAAATTCCTCCTCCTTCCCATGTTCCTGTTCCTGTCATTCCCACTCATGGGCTATTCAACAGTTTTCAACCCATCTCTCTGTCCTGTCAGGAAAAAACTATTGCCACTATGAAACCCTCGGGCTCTCCAGATGATGTGGTTCCACCTCGTCTCCTGAAAGATGTGCTTCCGTTGATTGGCCAGTAGGTGCTGGGCATTATTCATGGTAGCTTGGCCTTGGCTGAAGTTTCTCGTGCCTTTAAACACGCTGTTGTGCAGCCAATCTTGATCCTACTAATTTCTCTCATCTCCGACCAATTTCCAAGTTACCATTTTTATCTAAGATACTTGAGAAAGTCGTGCTTGAACAGTTAGTAATACATCTTAATGACCATCAAGTAATGGACAATTTTTCAGTCTAGGTTTAGACAACGGCATAGCACTGCAACTGCTCATGTTCGTGTGTTTAATTACATCTTTCTGGCCTTAGATTCAGGGTTCCATGTTGTTCTGGTACATCTGGATCTATCTGTAGCCTTTGATATGATCGATCATAACATCTTGATCTATAGACTACAAACTTAGGCTGGAATCTCAGGTTCGGCACTAGACTGTTTTAGGTCTTACAGGTCCCTCAGGGTCATGCCGGATAACTATTCATCCCAGTCACTCTCCCTTCCCTGGGGGGTTCCTCAAGGTTCCATTCTCAGCCCGTTACTGATCTGCCTCTATATTCTGCCCTTGGGAGCCATTTTCAGACATCATGCTGTTTCATACCATCCATACGCAGACGACTGTCAAATCTATTTTTCATTTAAACCCAATGACTCCACTAAACCTCTGTTTGATTGTCTTTATGATGTCAAGCAATGGCTCGCTGAAACTTCCTCCATCTGAATGACTCTAAAACAGAGGTAATCGTTTTTAGTCCCGACAATTATAGAGCAACCCAGCAACCTGACCTCCACTATCTGTCTCCTAATGTCACTTCTGCTATGTCCATCCTTGGAATAAAAATAGACCCGGTTCTGAAGATGGATGCTCAGGTCAATAGCACAGTCAGGTCCTGCTTTTACCACCTCAGGCGAAATTCTAAACTAAAGCCCATCCTGAGTGTCTGTCTTCTACAATCTGTGATTCACACCTTCATCACGTCTTGGCTTGATTATTCCAATTCCTGCTTGTACGGCATCAGTAAAGCTGCTCTGTCTAGACTCCAGCTTGTCCAGAATTCAGCAGCAAGGTTCCTGAATGGAGCTGACAGAAGACAGGACATTACACTCACTCTTAAATCACTCCACTGCCCATTCAGTTCAGGATGTATTTCAAAATTCTGCTTCTTGCATTCAAATCTTTGAACAGTCGGGCACCTCCCTATCTGTGTGAACTCCTCCATTACTACCACCCTCCTCGTGCTCTTAGGTCTGAAGATCAGCTCCTTCTAACTATCCCTAAGGCACATTTGAAGACCCGCGGGGAAAGGGCTTTTTCTGTCTGTGCCCCAAAATTGTGGAACTCATTACCTCTTCAGGTTAGGCAAGAACCCTTTATTGGCATTTTAGAAAACCCACTACTTCTCCCTGGCCTTCAACTCCCAAACCATAAAGCATTAACTCATCCTTAGTTTTTCCACCTTGTTTGTTCGATTTGAAATTTGTGTTATTATATTCTGGTTTTACTTGTTCTATTGGGTTTAGGTTGTTGTTCTTTGAACTCTTATCTTTTTTACTTCATGATATACACAATTATTTTAGCTTGTGTTTTTTATTATTTGTTTTTATGTGCAGCGTTTTGGTCGGTTGTAATGCCGTGTTGAAACCGCTCTAGAAATAAAGTGGTATGGTATGGTAATTGATCTGTCACCTTTGGTCTTTAGCCTGGTGTGCTGCACAACCAGTAGGCTTTGGTCACTGGACCTCGGGGACCTGCTGGGGTGTAGGGACTTAAAATGAATCCTGAAGTTGACTGGCAGTCAATGATGCTGGAGGAGAAGCGGGGTGATGTGGGTGTGTTTGGAGGACTTGGTCAGAAGACGAGCACAGGCATTCTGAACCACCTGTAGACGGTTCAGGGAGGCTTTTTTCAGACACGTGAAAAGAGACTTGCAGTAGTCTAAGCGAGAGGAAATGAAGGTGTGGATAACTGTCTCAAGTTCAGAGCGGGACAGAATGGGACTCAGCTTAGCAATGTTCCTGAGATGAAAGAAGGAAGAGCAAACAAGAGAACTGACATGAGAATCCAGGGTGAGAGCTGGGTCAAAGGTCACACCAAGATTTCAGACAGAGGGTTTGGTGCTAGAAGCAAGTTGACCAAGAGAGTCTCTGACTTTGGGAACCAGCTCGTCCGAGCCACAGATGAGGATCTCAGTCTTATCTTCATTCATCTGAAGAAAGCTCCCAGCCATCCAGGTTTTGATAGAGTCTAAGCAGGTGTGTAACAGCTGCAGCTTAGACATCTCATGGGGCTTAAAGGAAATGTACAGTTGGATGTCATCTGCATAAAGATGGTAGGAGATTCCTTTGAAGGAGCTCAGGATGTGCTGAAGAGGAAGCAGATAGAAGAGGAAGAGCAGAGGCCCCAGCACAGAACCTTGTGGGACACCATGAGAGAGGGATATGGTGGAGGATCTAAACTTGGAGACAGCAACAGAGAAGGAATGCTCAGACAGATAAGAGAACCACTCCAGAGCAGTTCCTGATATGCCGACCCAGTCTCTCAGCCTCTCCAGTAGCAGGTGATGGTCAACAGTGTCAAAGGCTGCAGTCAGGTCCAGCAGGACCAGAACAGAACAGTCCCCTGTATCACTGTGAGTCAGAAGGTCATTAGAGACTCTAAGAAGAGCTGTTTCAGTGGAATGAGCTCTACAAAAACCTGACTGGAAACCATCATAGATGCTATGTTCATCAATAGTAGCTGTGAGTTGTTTAGCTACATCCTTTTCCAAGTTCTTGGAGATGAACGAAAGTTTAGAGATGGGTCTGAAGCTGCTAAGGAGAGAGGGGTCAAGGCTTGTTTTTTTAAGAAGCAGGTGGATTACAGCGTTCTTAAAGTAAGCAGGGACCTGACCAGATACTAGAGAAGCATTAATTATAGACAGCACGCTGGGACCGATGGACTGAAAAGCACTTTTAAACAAAGATGAGGGTTAAATCGCTTTAAAGCTGGTTAGAAATATATCTTCTTACCTTTAAATCTTCCATGATTTGGGGTGTGTTCCATCTCTGCGGGGAATGCACATGCTTTTGGTAGTATTCCACAACTTCCTGGTAAAAGAAAATGTCACTGCTTACATAAGAATGCAACATTACGTTAAATCATCTTTTCTCTTTTTAAACCATCTGAACCAGCATTGGGGGATCTATGTGCAGCTGATCTTTATCAACTTCAGCTCTGCCTTCTACACCGTCTTGAGAAGAATGGTGGACTTGGGTCTGCTGCATTATGTCAGTACCTGGATTAGGAGCTTCCTGTCAAGTCACAGCCAGAGGCTGAGAATTGGACCCACACACTTGCACAACCCTGTGCCCACGGGCTGTTGATGTGGCTGTGTGCTGAGCCCTTTACCCTGTATACTCACCACTGCATCCCAACCCATCATAGCAACAGTATCATCAAATATGCTGATGACACCACAATGGTGGGGCTCTTCTCTCAGGAGAATTAAATTACCTACAGGGTGTGTGTTAAAAATAAACAACTTAAAACGTAAAACATCCACCATCCTCACCATCCCCATGGGATGAGGGTAGCGGCTGACTGGCCGTCAGGACCACTAACTGCTGAAGAGGCCTGCTCAGTGTTTCCATTAAAACACAGCTGTTGTGCCGAAAAGAGCATTCCTGCAGAGTTTTGCATACCTAGTTGTGGGAAGGCACATCGCTCAATACAGCCTCATATTGAGGAAGTAAACAATTAGAAACATGAGTAACAAGGCAGCGTTTTAATAAATTTGAACTATTAACTATTCTTATCCGCGTGCTTCCTTACAAAATTATGGTTTATGGGCAGATAAATAAAAGAAATTACGGTTTTCAAACGCGTTTTATTTTAGACAATTCTTTAAAAGACTGTCAAAATATTTTTTCTGCTATTCGGTTTATAATTTTAGTCACATTTCTGCTTTTTTATAACCAACAGCATGTGCATCAGTGTAAGTGGGTCCATGATCTGTCTCTCAGGTGTAAACACGACCTTCTGCAAGCTGGTCAAAGAAGTCCAAGGTCCCATTTGGGGAAATAAAACGGGAGGAGGGTAGAGCATCTGTCTGCATTAACATCCAGGAGGCTTTTGCCCACATATGAGGGCTGAATTCAGACAACAATTGTTTTGGTTCGGCTAGAGCAAGCTGTCTCTGCCTCAGTCTCTCAGTGATCTTTGTTTATTTCCAAACAACTGAATATAGGGTCAGTTTCCACCAAGCAGGGCTGTAAGCTTTGTCAAGCACTGATCCATTTCGCAAATGAGTTCTGAAAACCAAAGCCAGTTTGCTGATCGGAGCATCCATCTTCTGGTTATGCTCGTTCAACACAAGAGTCTGAGTGCTCATAGCCCAACGCTTGCCAATTGCTCCTGACAGCTTCTGAATTTTGCAATACAACAGCAACCTGCCTGCTCCAGACATCATAACCCCAGTAATCATGAATCCAGTTTTACATCCTCTAACAAACACACACACATAATCACCCACACAGGAATCTATCATGTATCCTATCAGGTGAGTTAGTCAAGGCAGGAGGAGCTCCCTTCTCCATTTTTAACATGAAAAAACATTTTATCAATGACATTCTGAGACCAGCTGACCAGATCCATAATTAGAGAAATTCAGAGAAAATGCAGATAGTTGTTCCAAGTAAGACAGCCCAAAGAGCAGGCAGGTGAATGGGGTAGGGAGGGGAAAAGAAAAATGACCGTCCTTGGCAAGGGCAGGAAGAAGAAAGCATGATTTTTCATCATATTTCTAGTCAAGAACAAAACATTTTCTGGAGGAACTCAGATTAAAAATGTGTTCATGTTATGAATCTATTTAAAAATAGCTTCATCACTCACAATTCTAATTGTTTACTTGCACTTGCGTTGCGGTTGTGACGACAGGGCTAAGGATTTGTTATTAGGAGCATAAGACCAGTGACTCTTTGCATCATAAAAAGTCGAGCTGAATTACTTCCAGTTTAAGACAATGGAAATGCGTCTGTTTTATTGTTTTTGAGCAATTACAGTTTTATTAACACATATAAATACACAAAAACACGAGTAATTCAGTGACTTCTATTTTTTACCATAGAATTTGAAAAAATACTTACTTTCCCTCTTTTCATTCCTGAATCAATTTTAAAAATCGGAAATTTCCTTAAATTTTTTTCGTTTTTGCTTTTAAAACAAAAATTCTAATACCATAAAGTACACTGACCCTAAAGGACACTGTTAACCTTAATATACACACTACAGAGACAAAAATAATTAGAAATTTGAAAATTAAATTTGAATTTGAAATTTTAATTGAATGATGATTTTTTAATTTGGATTTGAACCAACAAACTGACCTGCTCAGCAGGAAGAACGTACAGCCAGATAAAGTCTTTGACTTGTTGGAGAACACCATGGCCTCTGCCTGTTTGAAGTAATTGTGCATCTCTTCTTGGATCTGTGAGGGGTCTGGTAAGAAAAATATACTACTTTAAATGTTTAAAACTGGCAGGATGCAAATCCTACCAATGATCTTTTTATTCACGAGATTAAGCACACATTAGTTTATGTTGTTGATCAGTGCTATTAATCAGTTACTAATTCTAAGTAACCTTTTCACACGTTGCAGAGCTATCTTAGCCAAAAGCTCCATATTCTGCAAGAGTTGATCGGCATTGGGCACGTTGGTGGGTTCCTGAAGGACGTGAGTCGTTAGCCCCTAGATACAGAAATGATGAGGAAAAGGTCATGGGTCAATCCGTTGCCAGGACAGCAATATCAAAATGTTGCTAAGTATCTCAAACAATGTTACTGAATATAAATGTGTTATAAACCTGGGCAACTAAAACTTTAAAAGCAGACAGAGCCAAGAAGAAGTTCAGCTGTGGCAGAGAATCAGACGGGATTCCTCGACATCTGCAGTAAACAGAGATCAGGTCACTAGCAGCTGGAACACCTGCACAGGGAGGGAAACACACACACACACACACACACACACACACACACACACACACACACACACACACACACACGCACGCACGCACGCACACACACACACACACACACACACAGCTTAAATACGGAACATTTGTCAAATCTAGCATAGAGATGGTAAAACATATTCAACAGGAGGATGTTACCCTCTACTCCTTGTAATCCACCTAAAATCATGCCAATGTTGAAACTTTTGGGCCAGTAGAATGGGGCCAGTAAGTAGGCCAGATCTATTAGAGGATTTCCGGTGGTGGACGACTCCCAGTCCAACACTGCTATCACACGAGCCTTTTAAAATGAACAACAAAAAACACATGCACCCCAAAATCACTGCACAAAAATGTAGATTTCTGTGGAAATCTCAGAAACTGTACCTCTGTCGGGTGGAATACTATATTTTGCAGTCTGTAGTCTTCATGGATGAGTGTAACCTCATCATCTTTCTCAGGCAAATTATTCATCAGCCAATCAGACAGCTCGATAACAGCAGGAATTTCTCTGTGGGCTGATGTTTTGTATGTCTTCGTCCAAAGGGACACCTTTGAAGTTGGAATACCATTTCTTATTTTTAGAAGGGACAATAATATTTTTATTAGTCTTAATTTAATAAAGGAGTAAAATTTCCTCTAACTTGTCTCCTGCAGTAACCCGGTCCTTTTTCAAACCCTTCCAGTTTTAGTGATGCCAAGTTGAGTGAATGCAGCTTTGCCAACGCTTCCACCATAGCTACGTGCAAAGCTGTTCTCTCTGCTGGACTCAGTCCACGGAGCTGAAGATCCCTGAATATACGGCCCTGAACAAAAGCAGCAGATGAGGAAACAGTGGGGTTCAAATTAAATGAAATGTCAATCGGAAAAAGGGTTATACATATATATATGTGTGTGTGTGTGTGTGTGTGTGTGTGTGTGTGTGTGTGTGTGTGTGTGTGTGTGTGTGCATATTTATATGTGTGTGTATACATAGACATATATATGTATACATATACATATATATACACACACCATAGAAAATCATATATATATATATACATACATACATACATACATATATATATATATACATACATATATATACATATATATACACATATATATATATACATATATATATACACATATATATAACAACAAACTGCATGCATGCAGTTTCTCTGTGACTTTAAAACTTCACCTCCAACATAAAACTTTTTCTGATGCTCCAAATACAGAAAAACATCCCTTTCCAGGGTTTTTTGAATAAATAAAAAAAATCAGAAAATTACTTTAAATGTTTAATAATAGTTAACATCACTTAAATGCAACAGCAAATTCTGTCATTGCTACTGAGCATTTTCTCCACCACTGAGAATCTGGTGTTGACTTCAAGTGTCCAATCTGCTTTACTACAACTTATCAACAATTCAGAGATATAAAACAAGGCAACGCCATTTTAAGTCAGTTCCATTTTGACTTCAGTTCTAGTCACCGTCATCCTAAAGATAAGCACAGACTGGCCAGATGTGTTTTCTTCTTTAAACTAAGAACTGTGAAGCTGGAGATTTTCGTCGTTTAACAACCAGATGACGTCCTTTCAAAATAAGAGCACCTTCTGACGCCGCCGAACGGTACCAAGGGTCGACCCTCCAGACGGGCTTTGAAACGTTGTGATCGCTGCACCGACAGCTCCAGCGTACATCCGAGGTCTCCAGACCTGGCATTTCCTGATCTACCTGGGAGACCCCCACTGGGTACGTACATGGCAAAATAGCGGCTCATGTCATCACTTTATAAGCCTCGTGATATCTAGTCATAACAATGACGACCAGATTCATTGACGTCAGCCTAGAGAGTCTGAACCAGACACACACACACACGCACGCACCAACACAACATCCGAATCCATTTTCATCCATCACAGAGTTAGTCCTGGTAGATTGTTTAGAATTTATAATTCAGAAATTAAAGATTCTCAAACGATCCCATCTCTCTCTCTTTTCTTGTCTCAAAGTCAATACAGAGTGTTTAATTAAACTCCCTGATGATAAAAACAGCCTATTCTTCTGTTTATAAAAAGTGAACTACTTACAGTGTATTAAAATACAACTTTAGATAGTTACATCACTTCAATTCCGTTACAGATATAAGGCTGTTGCTGCAATTGGGAAGTGATCTGTGCTGGGCCAAACTAGAAGAATATTAAGATTTTTTTAGGGAAAGAGAAAAACAATTGTCTACCTTTCAGAAGAGGAACTGGCAAAGAAACTACATGGAAAATATGTGAAAACGTTTGTTTTTAACCCCAAATTGAACAAGTTTACCTAGATCTTAAAAAGCAGCTCAGATGATGAAACTGCAACTATGATTCTGATAACAGGCTAACAAATTGAACTAAGATATCCGGCTAGCAGAGCTTCTGACTGACAGTTTATGTGCAGCAGCAAATCAACTATCCTGATGAACAAGGTTATAAAAGCTCATAAAGGAAAAATCACTTTGATGTGTGGGGGAACTTTTCCAGGCCCTCTTTAGCAGGGTGGGACTGGGAGGAGAGTGCTGTAGCCTTTTAGCTGGAAGCTAACCGGAGCCTGGGGCTAACACTAGCAACATGAAGGTGGTGTAGCGGTAAAAATGATTAACGACACTGAGTGGAGTCATGTTCACGTTTGAAAGCAGCGCTGAATCCAGAAACATCAGCACAAAGTGCGTTCGTTGCTCTGAGTCAGCATGACGAACAAGGGAACAGCGCTGCAAAACTCTATTCGGGTGTTGCTTTCCAAAAGGGTCTATGTAGGGGGTGGGCGTATTAGGTGAATGGAACCATTTGATTGGCCGCATATCAGAGGGACTATATGTACATATATATATATATATATATATATATATATATATATATATATATATATATATATATATATATATGTATATTTCTTTTCTTTTTTTAATATACATATATGTGTGTGTAAATGATGTTACCTATGATGAAAATTACAAGCCTCTCTCATCTTTAAGTGGGGGAACTTGCACAATTGGAGGCTGACTAAATACTTTTTTCTCCCACTGTGTATGCCAAATAACTTGATTTGACCCATGTAAACAGACTTACTTTCACATGATCCATCACGTAAAACTCTGTTCCAATTACTTCAACATCCGAGCAGTAACAGATGGCCTTAGGGACGGGGAAACCAGCAGAAAAGAGGGTCTTCTGGATTAAATATTCTGTTTCCATCTGCACAGAAAAGCTTTGTTTAAACCTGAACCTCATCACTTTTTTGTAAGATGGCCTAGGTGTTTCAGCTGTAGGGAAGCGAATTGGTTAATTGTAACTTCAATACATCTTTTTGCTTTACATGCCTAGAAAAAAAGTCCCATGATTTTTTACTTTATTCTAATAGTAGAATTTACATTGCTATGATAAAGGATGAGTGTCAGTCTGGTTTTTCCCAAGGACATTTATCAGTAAACTAGCAAGTCTTTTACTCACAGTTAACTAAGCAGGAAATCTCAGATTGTAGTTCTGTCCTCAAAAAGAGCAGTTTTCAGTGTAAAAACTTACCTTTTGAACCCCTGGTATCAGCTCATCTCGGGGTCGCATCTTGAGAACATAACTGTTTGAGGTTGTCTGGATGAAAAAGGTTGGGTTTGATTGACCAACACTGGAAAATTAACCAAAAGTCTTCAGTTAGTTTAGCTTTAGAAAAAAAGATCTACACAAGGAAAAGGCAGCTGTAGTCCAGTGTGTTACCTGTACTGCCTGACAGTAAAGGTGTCATCATTTGAGACCCCTAGCTTCATCGATAGGTATCTTTGAAGGTTGCCAACATTAAAATGTGGCTGGATGGAAACTGTCTTGTCTTCCATATTTTAGTCCCTGTTTTTCTCTTTTTTGGGTCAGATTTGCATGAGCAGCAGACAAAGCGGAGATACTCTCACCACCCTCTCTCCAGCTGAACAGGTGAGACTTCAAAAGTGTTCCCTAGCCAGCCTGGAGATAAAATCCCTCCAGCACATCCTGGGATGATATCCTCCAACCAGGCCAGCAGGACAAGCCCAAAAAACCTCCCCTGGGAGGCGTCTGGGAGGTGTTCTGACCATTGGTGGAGATGACAGGGAAGACCCCCCCCCCCCCCCCCCCCCCCCCCCGCATGAAGTTGTCCCCCCAAACATTATTGAGCATATACACTTGTTTAACATTTATATAGTAAGGTGTAGTGAAAGCATAGCATCAAAAGATACAACTGGAACTGTCTTCAATCATTGAAAGATTATGATCCCCTTATTTCTTAAATGGTATGGTCCAAACTGTTTTGAATGGGCAGGGCTGTAGTGGTGGTAATGAGTCACTCACCAAAATAAATCAGATTCTTTGAGTCATCGAGTCAGTTGCCTAGAGTTAAAAAAAACAACATTTTCACTCAAACTTATTTTGCTCCTCTTTCCATGTAAATCCTACTGCTGACAATTGTGATTGAAAAAAGAAAACTATCCATTTTATATATTTTAAAATTAGCAGAAGAACTGAGTTAATTTTTTTTTACTTCAGTCTGATTATTATCTTTGCAAATCAAACAACGGTGTAAACTGAATATCGTTATATTGTGTCAGCCAGGTCTGAGTTTCTCACTGCACCTGTTGAGGGAGGTGGCAGAGGAACTGGAGATTCGTTCATGCTACAATTCAGCACCAGACTAGCTCTCAAGAAGGGAGGGGGTGAGTGACACAAACGTGCTGTTAGCACAGAACGAACAGAGACATGAACTTAGTTCTCCGGGTTTTTTTTCTTCCAGGCCAGAGCAGGTAAGGAAACTTGCTGTTTTTTCCATAATTTTGATGAAAAGCTAGATATATAGTTCTACAGTCCCCAGGGCAGCAGTGGCGTGGCCAGATCTTTTAAAATGGGGAGGCCCAGGTAGTGCACTTCTTTGTGCATAGGTGGCACCACTGGTTATGCTTTTTCTTTTTTACCCCAAGCTTTTTGTGGAAAAGTCTATTTAAAGGAAATTCAGTGGGGTGGCTAATCAGATTCCAAGAGTGGCTTGTACTACCCCAGGCCACCCCTGGACACCCCTGGACACACCCCTGCAGGGCAGCCGTGGCTACATTGTAGCTCATCACCATCAGTGTGATTGTGTGTGTAAATCAGGGGTATCCAAAGTGCGTCCCGGGGGCCATTTGCGGCCCCCGGAGTAATTTGTGTGGCCCTCACTAGCGTTTTCAGAATTGTGGAATTAAGGCTCTCCAGGAGGCTGTTGAAGTAAATTCATATATTTAAGTAATTTACATTCTAATGTCTAATAATATCTATCTACTTTAGACATTTTTGGAGCAGAACAAATGAAAACTATTAAATAATGTTTGCATTCTTAAACACATTTTTTTTTGTGGCGCATGAGGAGTTTTAACTTCATGAGTTTGGCGCTCGTCTTAAAAAGTTTGGACATCGCTGGTGTAACTGAATAAATGATACACTGTAGTGTAAAGCACTTTGGAAGGCGCTATACAAGTTTGGGTCATTTATCATTATCATTTATCATACTGATAAAATTAGTTGGTATAGTGAATCATGATTCAAGAATCAGTAAAGTGATTCTCGAGTACTGAACAATTCGTTCATGACTCGCACATCACTAGCTCCCAGAGCAGAGCACCCTGCACACAGGATAGAACAATGGTCACTGCAGCCAGTAAGTTAATCACCACATACCATTTGTTTAAATGGTACCAAAAAACATCGTGTTCTGTGCTAAAGTTTGGTGCTTTCCCAATGAAATATCTCTGTTAAGGAGGTGCAGCTCTATTCCTGACCTGGGGAGTCTCCGTTTATTCACCAAACTTCTGAGAGTTTAAGAACTAGCGATTTAAAGAAACACTGTGCAACTTTCTCATAATGTTAAATCATGTTCTTGAGCCAGTATGTGCTAAAATGAAACTTTACAGAGTTAATGAAAGACCATGCAGCGGCCTCAGTCTTGCAGAGGGTGACGGAGACATGCCTGACTTTTGACCTATCTGATGAAATTGACGGAGACTGTAAGCTTGTGATTGGTCAGGCCACCACTTCCCTTAAATTTGTCAACAGCACCACCATTGCCCCCTCAAAAAAACAATAAATAAAAGATATTTAGCAGCAGACTTGAAGCAGATTGAAGAATGCCTCACGGAAATATGTCCAAAATATGAATTTTTATGTAAGGCGGGTGGATCCACGGCTCAAGTTCCCCTTTCGGGTGACGATTATGGCAAATTTTGGCTGAAGTCTAGGCACCCAGCAGTTCTGGGCCCTAACTACCTAAAGGAGGCGACAAGCCTTCCCTCCTAATGCTGTTACGCTAATGCTGGTTCTGCTCTTGCTAGCTTCTCACCTCGCTTCCAGTCGGTAGCAAGATGGCGCCTGTGCTTGGCTTAGCTGCAGTCACCGGCCACTTTTTCAAACTTTTCTCCACTAACCTCCTCTTTTCCACCTTGCTCCTGTCTGCGATCCTCTTCAGTAGTGTCCCTGCTACCATCTCCTATGATCGCCAGACTCTTTTGTCCTTCCGTTCGTTCATGATCCCCCACGATGCACCGAGGACGTACCTCTCTGTTTGTTTATCTGAGTGGCGCACTGGCCCGGAGCCAAACGACGATTCTAACCAGGGCGCCTCCAGCGATGTTTATCTGGTCCCGGGAAAACGTTGGAGGAAAAGAGGTAAACGAGCAGGAATCCAGGTTAGAATAAGACTTCTCTTAAAGCGTGGTTTATCTAGTAAACATTGGCGTGATCTTCTAGCTTCTTTTCCTTTATTTGGCGACTTGAGCGCCACTGCCGCATTCCCGCCAGGCCGCGTTGCGGCGCGGTTTCTCCGTCCAAGTTTTTTAAGTTTGGTTTATCCTCATTCCTCAGTGGTTTCTCCTCCTGTTCCCTCCATAAGTGGTTTTTATAAACACCGTGGATCTAACCCTGCTAATTTACGTCCACTAACTCCAGCTGTTCCTGTATTTTCTGATTCATCCTCCTCACTCAGCATGGCTCTATTAAATACCCGCTCTGTTAACAAAAAGTCCTTCCTGCTCAATTATCTAATTCTCTCTAAAAACCTGGATTTTCTGTTTCTGACTGAAGTTTGGCAGCAAACATCTGATTATTCTGGTCTGACTGAACTCTGCCCAAGTGGTTATTCTTTTCTTAGCCAGCCCCGGGGTTCTGGTCGTGGTGGAGGCCTAGCTGTTGTTTTCAGAGAACATCTTCCATGTAGCTCTACAACATCTGGTTACTTTGCTTCCTTTGAACTGCAGCTGATTAAAGTCGGGCGTAAGGACCCGTTCTACTGTGCTGTGGTCTATCGTCCACCTGGTCCAAACGGTTCTTTCCTTCAGGAGCTTAGTGACTTTCTATCCTCCACTGTGAAGCTGTCCAGACTGGTGATTGTTGGTGATTTTAACATCCACATTGATGATCCCTCTGATCATTTTGCCATGAATTTCTCCAGCCTTATGGACTCCTTCGGCTTTACCCAGCATGTCTCTGGTCCTTCACACACCAGGGAGCACACTCTAGACCTTGTTTTTACCCTGAGTCTAAATGCTGACAATGTTTGTCCTGAGGACGTTTATATTTCAGATCACCATTGCATTTTCTTTAACTTGTCAGTTTCTGCATCCCCACCTCCTGCAGGCCGTATGGTTAGTTCTCGTTTTCTTAATGAGAGCACAGCTAGAAATTTTTCAGTGCTTTTCAGTCCATCGGTCCCAACGCGCTCTCTATAATTAATGCTTCTCTGGTTTCTGGTCAGGTCCCTGCTTACTTTAAGAATGCTGTAACCCACCCACTTCTTAAAAAAAACGAGTCTTGACGCCTCTCTCAATAGCAGCTTCAGACGCATCTCTAAACTTCCGTTCATCTCCAAGATCCTGGAAAAGGTTGTGGCTAAACAACTCACAGCTGCTCTTGATGAACATTACATCTATGATTGCGTACAGTCAGGTTTTCGTAGAGCTCATTACACTGAAACAGCTCTTTTTAGGGTCTCTAATGACCTTCTGACTCAGTGATGCAGGGGACTGTTCTGTTCTGGTCCTGCTGGACCTGACTGCAGACCATCACCTGCTACTGGAGAGGCTGAGAGACTGGGTAGACCTATCAGGATCTGCTCTGGAGTGGTTCTCCTCTTATCTTTCTGAGTGCCCCTTTCTATGGCGTCTCCAAGTTTAGGTCCTCCACCACATCCCTTACCCATGGTATCCCACAAGGTTCTGTGCTGGGGCCTCTGCTCTTCCCCCTCTATCTGCTTCCTCTTCAACACATCCTGAGTTCCTTCAAAGAAATCTCCTACCATCTTTATGCAGATGACATCCAACTGTGCATCTCCTTTAAGCCCCATGAGATGTCTAATCCGCAGCTGTTACACACCTGCTTAGACTATCAAAATCTGGATGGCTGGGAGCTTTCTACAGCTGAATGAAGATAAGACTGAGATCCTCATCTGTGCCCCAGACAAGCTGGTTCCCAAAGTCAGAGACTCTCTTGGTCAGCTTGCTTCTGACACCAAACCTTCCATCAGGAATCTTGGCATGACCTTTGACCCAGCTCTCACCCTGGATTCCCATGTCAGTTCTCTTGTTCGCTCTTCCTTCTTCCATCTCAAGAACATTGCTAAGCTGAGTCCCATTCTGTCCCGCTCTGAACTTGAGACAGTTACCCACACCTTCATTTCCTCACGCTTAGACTACTGTAACTCTCTTTTCACGTGTCTGAGCAGAACCTCCCTGAACCGTCTACAGGTGGTTCAGAATGCCTGTGCTCGTCTTCTGACCAAGTCCTCCAAACACACCCACATCACCCCGCTTCTCCTCCAGCTTCATTGGCTGCCAGTCAACGTCAGGGTTCATTTCAAGATCCTGGTTCTGGTCTATAGGGCCTTACATGGACAAGCACCATCTTACATTGGTGATCTTCGTAGTCCCTACACCCCCAGCAGGTCCCTGAGGTCCAGTG